TAGGAAGCAGGAAATGGTTGGATTTCTTGCTTTCTAGCTAGTCTTTAGATCTTCGGCTCTGCTTTTAAGCATAGCCAAACCTCCCTTAGGACTGAAGGTTCTATTATTCAGTGCAGACTCACGGCAAGCAAATTTTATGTGACAGACTCAGGTAGCCGATTGCAGATAGATTACTGAATGATTCTGAGAGCAACTCAATCTGCCTCCCTGGTTTGCCTGATTTTGGGTAAAAGTTGCTCTTTTTTTAAATAAAAAAATCAATATTTACATACATGGTGTGTTGTGAGTTAATTTTGTGAGTTTGCTTGCAAGCAAATTTTATGTGACAGATTGAGCTAGCCGATGGCAGATAGATAGATCACTGAAAGATTCTGTGAGCAACTCAATCTGCCTGCCTGCTTTGCCTGATTTTGGGTAAAAGTTGCTCTTTTTTAATTAAAAAATCAATATATAAATATTTATAATATTTACATACAAGTCATGCCCAGCCCAGTCACATGACCACCAAGCCAAAGCCACAAATTAGGCCATGCCCACATAACTGCCTAGTGGTCCCTGGGATTTAAAATTATGAGTTTGGTGGTCCCTGAGGTCCAAAAGGTTGGTAACCCCTGGACTATGCTGCCACTAAACACCCAGAAAACGGGTGCCCCTAGTTGGGATTCTGCCATTGTGCAAAAAGAGAAAAGGAAATGTAAGAGCGTGAAAAAACTGGGTTGGGGCTCTTTGAAGTGGGAGAATTAGGTGAGATGAAGTAGAGATGTGTAATGAGAGGTGAGGAATCTGGAAGACTGCCCTCACTCAAGCTTACTAGAATCAGCTGTGGTGAGATGAGGTGGCAGAGCTCCTGTGTTGAACTCAAATTTATACACCAAAGGCGGGAAGTGAGAAGGCATGTCCAAATACAGGAAGAAATTGAGAAAATTTGTGGCATGGCACCCTTGGGGGCCTGGAGAAGAGCTTGGGGAAGAGGATGTTTGGGGGGGGGGGTGAGGCGTTCTTGTGCGAGGGTGTCAACACAACAAAGGTAAAAATATAGAAAAACCTTGAGGGTTTGGTTGGTTTTTTGGGGGAGGCCGTGAAATAAAATGCTGGACCTTATTGGAGTGAACAATCTGGAATAGTCGTGGGGCATTTTGAGAAAGGGCAAACAATGGGGGAGGGGAATTAAAGTAGATGGTGTGCAGCATGAGAGGGAAGGGGAAAGAAAATAGGTACCTGAGGGAAAAACG